GGGGACCCTGTCCCAGAGCTACCAGTACGAGGTGTGTCTGACGGGAGACCATGAAACTGGTGAGTTCAAATTCCTGAAGCCAGTATTTCCCAAACTCTTGGTTCAGAACACAGAAAGAGAAATTAAAAGAAAGCCCCAACTGCAGGAATAATTTTGTTCGGTTAAGTGTCGTATTTGGTCAAGTGAGCCTCTCAATTTTGTTAAACCTGACTCACATTGCGTTACTTTCTCTTGAGATTGTATTGTTGTAGAAATATGTATATCTCTATTGCAAATTATGCATGTCTCTGTGCTAAATCTTCCTTTTATTAATATTGCTTGGATTTAGCATTTTTAGTTACACTTGATATTATGTATTTCTCCATATTTGACCTTCTCTTGGTGATTAATCTTTCCATAACTATAAATTACTCAAGTAGTGTAAGAAGAAATTTTATTTAAAGGAACTTCTTGGTTAATGTCTTTTCAGGGAAACATTTTAAAGCTTCTGTGTAATCTTACATTTCTATATATTTTTGGTACTTGTCTTTACCACATAGCTTTATATTTGCAAGGCCAGAATGTTTGAAATTCTTTGTAGCTACCTAAGACCTTTCTTGTTCACTCTTCTACCAGGCTATGCCCCCCTGAATAGCCATGAACATATAAATTAGCATACTTGTTTCTCCCAAATTGTACCTAAACATGCACTTTATTAAATTATTGATACACTACAGTTGTGACCATATCCCATTGTGAGCACCGTATATGCTAGAGATTATCTTGTTTGCTACTTACGTAGCACATTGTAATTGCTCCATAAATACTCACTGATATTAAAATAAAAATTATTCTCATTTATAAATAACAAAGAGGAAAATCTTATATAACTTGGTATCACTTCACTAAAATAAAACTAAGTCACTGCTTGGTAAAATACTTAAAATCTTAGAACCTTAAGTAAACCCTAAATCCTTTAAAAGGTCTCAAGAGGTAGAGGGCATATACTTTCTTGTCCTTCCTTTTGCCCTATTAACAGAAGTTCAAATGTAGTTTAACGTATGTGTTTTTCTTGGTTTTCCTGCAGCTTCTCTGCATGTTTCAAGAGTCAGAATTTCTTCTCAGTTTTGGTTATTATGTTCTAGTCTGATTGCTCATTTTAAGTTACTCTGCAAACATGGGCAGCTTTTATGAACAAAATGATGATTTATTTTTGATCGCCAAGTCACCTTGTTTTGTTCTTCAATGTAGCGTTTGGGTATTTTGCATAAATTTACTTTTTCAATTATGCTAACTTTTAGTAGTAAGAAACAAGCATTGTTTTTTCTTTTAAGACAACAAGAATAGAAATTAAGATAAACTTATCTGAATTATAATTGTTTCATGTTGTGTTCATTAAGCCAAGCAAGACGATTATGTGGTTTCCAACCAAATTTATATGGATGTAACTACAAGACCAGTTATTGAACTTTTGCCACAATGTGAGTAATTAAAGAGCCTGCTTTATAACCTAAGTATTTATTTTTAGATCTTGTGCCATCCTCCTGGAATTTAATTACTTGCATCTTTCTCTGAATTACATTTTTTCTAAGGATATAATGAAATAAAAAAGGAAAATTACTGTTTAAGTTATTATTGAAACATAGCTATTAGCCTTCATCCAATCTAATACTTGAAATTAGAAAGTGATAAAAATAAGAACAAAGTTAAACACAAACAAATATATGACATAAATACAGTAGTCAACTTTAACTTCTCCATTTACTTTAACTTCTCCATTTACTGTTAGATATTTAAATGAAATAGTTTTTATGTATGATGACAAGAAATGTGATTGAAGTTTTCAGCAATATATTTCAACATTATGAACATCTAAGTTCATGTTTTTGTTTATGCCAGGAAAGTCCAATTTATATAATCACCCAAATGAGACTGGCCAAACACTCAGAACCACATTTATGAATTTATATGAGTAAATTTATGAATTACTTTGTGTATTACTTTATAAATTACTGTGTG